GATTTGGTAGGGGCGCCTTTATGGCGAAGTGTGATATCGAGTCCGCATTCCGCCTTCTTCCAGTTCACCCTGGGGACTATCGCTGGCTGGGCTTTAAATTTCAGGGTGCCTACTTCATCGACAAGGCGATGCCGATGGGGTGTTCGATCGCTTGTGCGGCCTTCGAGACCTTTAGCACCTTCCTCGAATGGGCCTTGAAATTCAGAACAGGCATGCAGGGGGTGGGGCATTACTTGGATGATTTTATTTTGGTGGCCAGTAACGAGAGAGATTGTGGCACCCTGCTCCAGGCCTTTGAGTCCCTAGCAAGTGATCTGGGCGTACCTTTAGCAAAGGAGAAGACGGAGGGCCCGGTAACAACCATGACTTACCTGGGTATTGAACTGGATACCGTTGCCCAAACCTCGCGCCTACCGGCCGAGAAGTTGTCAGCCCTCAGTGAGCTTATTGAGCAGATGTTACCGTTAAAAAAGGTCACCCTCAGGCAAATTCAATCGCTCTTGGGGCACCTCAACTTTGCCTGCCGAGTGGTTTCCCCCGGCCGCCCCTTTTGCGGCCGGCTAGCCAAGCTGTCCGCGGGACTACGGTCCCCCCACCACAGGGTGCGCCTGTCAAAGGCGGTTAAATCAGACCTACAGGTCTGGTTAAAATTCCTCGAGGGTTATAACGGCATATCGCTATGGCAGGACTGCATGTCCTTACGGTCGGACTTCCAGGTCCACTCGGACGCGGCGGGCTCCCTAGGTTTTGGAGTTTATTTCAGGGGACAGTGGTGCGCCCAGCGATGGCCCCCCGCTTGGCAGGGCAAACCGATCCTACGCGACTTGACTTACCTGGAGTTTTTCCCCATAGTAGTGGCAATCCATATCTGGGCGCACCAGTTTAGGAATCGCAGGGTGTGCTTCTGGACGGACAACCAATCGGTGGTATCGGTTATCAACAAGCAATCAGCGCATTCCCCCCGAGTCGCATCCCTTCTGCGCTATTTCGTTCTTTCTTGTCTGCAGTTAAATCTTCACGCGTCTGCCAAGTTTGTCCCCGGCATCGATAACAACATCGCGGACGCTCTATCTCGTTTCCAGATGGAGCGCTTTCGCTTATTGGCGCCGGATGCGCAGCCGCAGCCGCAACCGTTTCCGGATCACCTTTGGAATATTGGCAACGAGAAGCAATAAAGGGAGTATTGTCTGCTCTGGCACCCTCAACCCTAAGATCTTACAATAAGGCCTGGTTAGATTTTACATCCTTTCGCGTTAAAAAGGGTCGATTCAAGCCAGGCAAAGCCCCCTCAAAATCCGAGGTAATAGAGTATATGGTTCACCTTCGCGACCTGGGACGGGCCCCGAAAACTCTTAATATCCATTCGGCGGCTATATCTTTCTTCTCAAAAGCTCTATTTTCCATTGATCCTTGCGCCCACTTCGTGGTGCGGAAAATGTTGGAGGGCTGGCGCAGGTCACGCCCGCCCGTCCCAGATGCGAGAAGGCCTATAACCCTAGATATTCTCACAAAAATACGTTTGAAGCTTAGGTCGATCTGTTGGTCAAAATATGAGGCCAGGTTATTCTCTGCGGCGTTTTCCTTTGCATTCTACGGCGCCTTGCGCATTGGTGAAGTGGTCTGCGATGACCGCTTAGCCGGGTCCAATAGAGGGCTATTATTCGGGGATGTAGCGATAGCCAGCTCCCACGTGATCCTGAAGATCCGTAGCTCCAAGACCGACCAGCTCGGCAGGGGGGCCACGATTCGCCTCCAGGCAACCCGGAGGCCGGGTCCCTGCCCGGTAAAAGATGGCGCGAAATACCTGCGCATGAGGCCTAATTCTGTCGGCCCCTTTTTCTTACATGCGGACGGTTCCTTCCTATCGAAACACCAGTTCACCAGGGTACTGCGCAAAGCGATCGCAGCCATTGGGCTCCCTCAGGAGGAGTACGCGGCGCACTCCTTTCGCATTGGGGCAGCGACCACCGCGGTCCACATGGGTCTGCCGGCCGAAAGGATAATGGATATGGGGCGTTGGAAATCCAACGCGTACAAGGGTTACATCCGTTAGCTTAGCGTACCGTAGACCCCCCTAGCCGCCTTCCCTAACCCTATACCGCGCGCCCCCCGACCTTGTCGCTAGTATCGCCATTACCCTGACCTGGCCCTCTTGTTCTCTCATTTCAGGTTCCAGTGTGGTCCGTTTGTGGTTGGTCGGCCACAGCATAGTTTTCTGGGCCAAGCAGCGTGCGGAGAACAGGGGCGGGGACGCCGAGCTGGCGTTACCCGGTAACGTCGTGGTGTCCTGGATTTCTAGGCGTGGCATGCGCTGGGAAGAATTTCTCCCAGCGGTCGCTAATAAAATCGCGGCTGAGGGGGCCCCTGATGCTATGGTCATCCAGCTGGGCGAGAACGACCTTGCTTACAGGAAGGGGGTAGACCTAATGTGGAACATTATTAATGATCTGGAGGGTTTGAAGGCAGCCCACGTTAACATCACAATACTCTGGTCATCGTTGCTGCAAAGGAGATTTTGGCGGGATGCGCTGAACCCCGTGGCTGTGGACAAAGCCAGGAGGATCGTGGAGCGCTCGGTGGCGCGTAGAGTGAGAGCTATGGGTGGCCGGGTCATCGGGCACCCGCGCATCCAGTATGACAATCTTCCACTCTACCGCAGGGATGGCGTGCATCTATCTGATGCGGGCAATGATATCTGGTTAGCAGACATTTTTCAGGGTATTAGGGATTGGTTACAGGCGGAGGGTATTGGCGGCGAGCCGCTTTGAAGCGGCCCGTGTGGCGGTAGGCATTGGCAGGGGTATTGTTATGCAGATGAGATCGGGGGGGGAGGAGCGCCATCACCTCCCCCAGGCTTGGAGGGTAGTTCGTTAAAGGACTCCGAGGGGCGTCGCCTCGTCCGAAACCTACGGAGGCTAGGGCCTAAAGCGCGCCCCCGAGCGGTAACCCCTCGGGGAGCGCCTAGGGATATGCATCTCGGGTGGCTCCCCCTGTTGGTGCTTAACCCTCACCGGTTAGAACCGGTTAGTCTGGTAGGGCCAATGCCTAAAGCCAATACCACTCTTGCCTGTAATCAATAAAGTTGTGGCCATTTTCGCCCATTAACCTAAAATTCTGGTGTCCTGTGTCTTTATTTACCATCAGTGGAGGGGGAGGGAATAGCCACGCAATGCCACTACCGAATTTCAGGAGGGGGTGGGGTTGCGGGCTCACGACCCCGCCCACTCTCCCGCGGGGCTATCCCAGCCTCGCGGGAGTTAGGGATTCCCCTACTTTGCATATCCCCCGCCGCCAGCCAATCGGCTGGCGGAGGGGGCGGGCTTAACCAGGGGCATTTAAGGCCAGGGCGGCCCTCGGCTCGCCCCTTCTCTCTTCGCTCACCACACGTTTTCCCACCCACCCGCCCTTTAGGCTTGCCCTTGACTTTGCTATGGGTTTCGACTGGTCGCCGCAAGGGGCCTGGTAGGAATTTTTCCATTTGGCTAATTGGCTGGATTTAAAGCCACTTGGTTTTTTCGCCTACCTCGTAGCAAAACGTCACAACTCTGGGGTTGGCGGTAGGCATTGGCAGGGGTATTGTTATGCAGATGAGATCGGGGGGGGAGGAGCGCCATCACCTCCCCCAGGCTTGGAGGGTAGTTCGTTAAAGGACTCCGAGGGGCGTCGCCTCGTCCGAAACCTACGGAGGCTAGGGCCTAAAGCGCGCCCCCGAGCGGTAACCCCTCGGGGAGCGCCTAGGGATATGCATCTCGGGTGGCTCCCCCTGTTGGTGCTTAACCCTCACCGGTTAGAACCGGTTAGTCTGGTAGGGCCAATGCCTAAAGCCAATACCACTCTTGCCTGTAATCAATAAAGTTGTGGCCATTTTCGCCCATTAACCTAAAATTCTGGTGTCCTGTGTCTTTATTTACCATCAGTGGAGGGGGAGGGAATAGCCACGCAACAACCTTGCATGTGAAAGGTCCCAGGTTCAGTCTTCAGCATCATCTCCAGGTAGGGCTGGGAATGCCCTGCCTGAAATCCTGGAGAGCTGCTGCCAGTCAGTGTTGAGTGGCAATACTGAGTTAGATGAACCAGTGAGTCTCACTCACGATAAGGCAGTTCACTATATTCCTTCTCTAACCTGGTGCTCTCCAGATGTTTTGGATTACAACTCCCATAATCCACTATCCATGCTGGTGGAGCTGGTGGGAGTGGAAGTTCAAAACATCTGGAGGGTATCAGGTTGGGGAAGGTTGGTCCACACTGGCTCACAGCATCACAGGCAGAATGCTATTTCCAGCCCTTGATCCTGTTTTTCTCTCGAGATGATGGAGGTCAAACCTGGAATTAATCTCCATGTAAAGCAAGTCTTCTTGTCATTGAACTATGGCCCTTTATCTTGCTGCTTCAGCTCAGCTCCACCACCCCGGGCTCCAAGTCTAGCTAATCACTAGCTTTTGAATAGTTCTGAAAGGAAAAAGTCACTAACAAAGTGAACATGCCTTGAAATGCAAAGTAATTATTTAACAAAGTGTTGAATACCAGTCTCATGATATACCTGGCCAAGATCTCAACTCTGTAGGCATACTGAAATGTTATCATGTTTGGTGTAACACTTCATCATTTCACTGTCATGAAATTAATATGTATATGACAGAGATCTACTTTTTCATCTATGGCGAGTTCTAAGTGGATGGTAGCAACATTAATACCTATGCAACATATATTAGTGGCCCAAGTTTACTGAGCTAGGGGCAGCTAGTGAAATATGACAAGCCATCTATCACACCACTGAAGTTGCTAGTAAGGGTTAAAATCACACTAAAAGGGGGGGGGGGTATGGTTTCTATCCCGAACTGGTTGCACATCATGGCTGGTTTAAGGAATACAAGGGTTCCTTATGCAAAAAGAAGCCCCAGTGGAAGAGACCCAGTATTTTACAGGTTCAAGGAATCAAACTCTTTCTGCAAGGAACAAATTCAGCACAGATCCAGTCCATGGGGGGATGTTGGTGGGAAAGGGCTGTGGACTGCATACATAAAACATCATCTGCAGAATACTTTGACCTGGTTGTGTTTTTCATAAAAAATGTAGCAAGCAAGGCAATTGGGCACTCAGTAAAAATACCCATATTACCACATTGTGAATCTAGATAGAAAAATAGCACAGTATGGCTTAATCCCCACCAAGTCTGAATCCAAAGCATTAGGGATTTCTTCTTATTGACTTCATTATGATTAATTACTATTTTTTAAAAGTTCAGTAGACTTGTTTTGCTGTGATCCTACCTTCTCAAGAGTCCAGGTGTGCAGGTTCCACGGCGATAAGAAGGCCTTGCCCCCCTATAAAGTGCTGCTCAGAGCTTCACCTGGCGCTCCTTCATGTGAAAGCAAGATGGGGAAGGTGCTGCTGTGGGTCGGTGAGTCATTTATAATATTTTGTATACTGCCTCTCTTAAGGTTTGTATGGTGGGATTTCATTTCACAGACACCAAGAATGGTGCTTTGTTAAGCTACATAGCACAATTTTTCCATTACTTTGGACTCTCTTCTCTGTTCTTTGCAGGTTTGGCTGTTTTGCTGCAGTTGCAAATCAGTAAGTACTTATTCCATTCCTTAACTAGGGATGAGCAGTGTGTTTGTGTGCGTGTGTGCAGAAGATGCAAATAATAAACAAACAAACAAACAAACAAACAAACAAACAAATAAAAAATACCCTGCCCATCTGGCTGGGTTTCCCCAGCCACTCTGGGAGGCTCCCAACAGAATATTAATAATAATTTTAAAAAGTGATAAAACATACTCTACCCAGCATGGTGCTGTTAACTGAATTTCAGACTTGAGAAGCTCAGGATTACTTTCCTTCTACCTTAGCCATGCCAGGTAGACATGTCTCATTACTTTAGAGTCATTTCAAAGGTAAAAAAGGGATAATGTATATTGTAAGCCATCAAGAATCCTGGGAATTCCATGTGAAAGAAATATTTACAAATAATCAGAACTGCTATTTAACTCAAATTAACCAGTGTCACACCCCATATTTTATTCAAGTTGGCACTCCTGGTTGTATATATATACTCAAAGTCTTCTCCCTTACTCCACAAATTATCATCTTGCTACATGCAAAATTTGCCTGTGTGATGAAGATTTTTGGCAAAATTAAAATAGCCACATCCCATTTTCCAAAAGTTTGTCCCATAAGGGTTTTGTTTTTGCTTGCTACACAGTCCTTGCATGCTTACCTGGCATATAAATATATGGTTGGGAATGGGATTTTAATTTAAAAAAACGGGATGTAATATTTTAAACAGCTGCTTCATTGTTTTGTTTCTTCCAATCAGGCTCGGCATGCAAACTTGTATGCTATTTCACCAACTGGGCTCAGTATAGGCCAGAGCCAGCCAAATACTTCCCAAACAATGTGGACCCACAACTCTGCACCCACCTGATCTATGCTTTCGCTACGATGAATGAAAATAAGATTGCCCCTTATGAATGGAATGATGAAGACAGGCTCTTCCCAGAGTTTACTGCACTGAAACAAAAGTAAGCAGCAATGCAAAACCACAGAGCAACATTTCACATATGGATGTCTGTTTAGGGCCACGTAACTGTCAATTTATGTGCCAGGGTGATAGGAATTCTTCTGAACAGTGTCCCTTCACATGACGCATTTCAGCTAATGTGGTGATGCCAGCTGTTTCAGTCTTCGCTTGCTGCTGTGCATTACAGCAGCTTTTGCTGTGCTGTCACTAGCTAATATTTAGGAACTTTGATTCCAGCTGCAATATAATATTTGCCGTGCACTGCAACTGATATATAATATTAGGCCCACAATCCCTGAACTCTGATTGCATCAGCTAGAGAATGGATGGATTCATACCCACTGGTGGAGGAATAGGGGGCGGGGGGCGGAGGGAGACCCCCCCAGCACCATCGGGGAGGGGGGTACCATCGCGGTTCCACCCCAGACATGCGCCGCACCCCCCCACTGCACTGGGTGACCACGCCCCCAGGATGCACGCCACGCCCCTGTGATGCATGCCACACCCCCACAGGCAGCATGCCACGTCCCCGGGATGCACGCCACGCCCCCACAGACAATGTGTCATGCCCCCGTGACATGCGCCAGCCATGCCCCCACCTGCTCTCCACCCCCAGTACCGGAGCATGCAGCTTTGCCACTGTTCATACCAAAATGGTTCTTTGCACGCTAATACTAATATACTAACCGGTAGTTTGAAGAGTTTTACTGAAAGGCGTTAATGGTCCATGGCAGAGTGAATGGCCTGACTGCTAGATCAGGTCAAAAGTATACATTCTGTCCTCACATTGACCAACCAGATGCCCATGGAAAGGACATGAGCACAATAGCATTCTCTCCACTTGTGTTCTCCATCAACTAGTATTTAGAGACATACTGCCACTGATCCTGGAGGCAGCAATGAAACACTGTGACTAGCCTTATTCATCATGAATTTAAAGGTCTCTGGGTTGGTGGCCATCACTGTATCTTGAAGAAGCAACTGTGTGAAGGAGGATTTCCCTTTTTCCATCTTGTGTCTCCCAACACTTAGATTCTTTGGTTCTAGTATTATGAGAAAAGATGAAAACAACCTCCCTGCCCTCTTTCTCCAATCTACGCAATAATTTTACACACTCAGGTGTAGTGACTAGCACGTGGAAGTTGGTTTGGGTTTAAATATCCACTCAGTCCATGTTACTTACCAACTGGTCTTGGGCAAATCCCCACATTTTAGCTTGACCAACACTGTTGTTAGTAGAATAAACTAGGATAATTCCATGTAAGCTGCTTTGGGGCTTCTTGTAAGAAAGGGAAGATACAAATGTGATAAAGAAATAAGCATTGGGTTGGATCCAACTTAAGTTAAACACACTTAGGTCCTATTGAAATAAATGTGTGAAAAGTTAGTTGATTTCAGTGGGGCCTAAATGCAACTCCTTTAGGTTAGATTCATCCGATTGATGCATGTGCCGCATAAACACATAATTGCACAGGGAATGGTGCTGTACTGTTGTGTATAATACTGTCTTGAGTGTATAAACCTATATCTTTAAAAATGTTTCTCTATTCACTTTAATATATTAATATATTCTGTGCCTTTTAGGAATTCCGAACTGGTTCAGCTGTTGGCTATCGGAGGGTGGAATTTCGGCACTCAGAAGTGAGAACGGCTTTTGTTTATTTACCTCTACACTGACAAAGAGTTCAAATTATGAAGCAACCAGATGGTTAGAAACTACACTAAGCTCTAGCAGATGTTAGAAATTCTGAAACTTCACAGCAATAAAGGGAAATTAAGTAGTCTGTACGAAAAGGCAGGGCTAGAGCTAAGTATTAATTTATTTGCGAACACGTTCTTGCAAGTGTTCATACATTCTCTAAGGGAGGCATTTCTACCTTAAAGTAAGTTTTCCTTAGTACCACAGTAAAAATGCAATACTAAGAATGAGATCTGTTCCTTTTAGATTCACCACAATGGTCGCCACAGCTGCCAACCGAAAGACCTTCATTGATTCAGTGATAGCTTATCTCCGCAAATTTAATTTTGATGGGATTGACTTGGACTTTGAATACCCGGGCTCTAGAGGCAGCCCCCCTGAGGATAAGCAACGGTTTACCATCTTGATTCAGGTGAGGTACCAGCCCAGCATTCTCTCACAGATCTAGTATACTTCCATAGCTAGCTTAGCCTACTGAAAGCTTTTAACAAACATAGAAATCTCATAAGTAGAATGGATGATAAATGCTGTTGAGTTGTTTCTGCCCCTAAATGGGCTATATACCAAGAACCTCAACTTATATATAAGGTTCCCCCTAAAGTTGCTTATCCAACCCTGTCTTGGAAATAACAGAAACCCAGCATTTTTCGGGATTGTGTTAATCAGCATGTTGCTGATCTTTGCAGCTTAAAAACAGATTAATGTTTGGGATATATTGTTACCATTTTCAGAGCTAAAATGTTTTCCTCTCACTATCACAAAGGGGGAAAAATATACATTAGAATCTGGCAATTGTTGAACATGTGAAGAGGAACTTAAAAGTCCTTTGCTGCTAAATGGCCCAGATATAAAGTTAGATAATAGAATCATAGAATCATAGAGTTGGAATAGACCACAAGGGCCATCGAGTCCAACCCCCTGCCAAGCAGGAAACACCATCAGAGCACTCCTGACATATGGTTGTCAAGCCTCTGCTTAAAGACCTCCAAAGAAGGAGACTCCACCACACTCCTTGGCAGCAAATTACACTGTCGAACAGCTCTTACTGTCAGGAAGTTCTTCCTAATGTTTAGGTGGAATCAGTATGAGGCAGACCAGTATGAGGTAGAATCAGTATGAGGCAGACCAGGTTATAAGCCTAGACTCTGGCCTTTCAAATGGATCTCTTGAGATGAAAGGCAAGACGCTGGACTAGCTCAGCTTTCTGACTTGGTTACTGAGAGAATCCCTGATAAATTGGTACTCTTGTCTGAGATCTCTGATACCATTGTCAGTTTTAGAATAGTCATTTAACTTCATGCTCAGAAAGACAAATGACCTTCTAATAGGCATGTCTGACTCCACGTTTAGGGTTCCTAGGCACCCTACTGGTTGGGGACTGTCATTTTAATTTGCATCAGTGCCCCACATTGATGCAATGCATTGTAGGAAATTAAAATGACCACAGCTGCCTAGTTCCAGAAAAAAATGACACGTGTTTGCTCTTGCTCTGCTAATAGGTATTCACTAATAGTTCCTCCTTCCTCTTTAGGAAATGTTGGAGGCCTTTACAGCTGAGGCTGCCAGCACAGGTCGCCCCAGACTGCTAATCACAGCAGCTGTGTCTGCAGGGAAAGGAACCATTGACGCTGGGTACGAAATAGCCGCAATAGGAAAGTAAGTAAATGAAAACATGCATTTTCTTCATAATAGCCCCCTTCTCTGACTTTGGCTTCTCTTAGATACACTCCTAGTGCCTGTGTCAGAATTGGCTGTTAACTCTGCTTCTTGTGCGACTTCCTCCAGGCTCCTGGATTTCATCAGCGTGATGACATATGACTTCCATGGCGGCTGGGACACCTTCACAGGCCACAACAGTCCATTGCATGTGGGATCCAAAGACCAGGGTGACTTAAAGTATTTCAACTGTGTAAGGAGAGGGAGAATAGATTTGACCAACTCCCATAGAATAAGACAGATATTAAATCCCACAACCCCCTCCATATCATATACCTTTTTTTCCCCAAAACAGGAGTTTGCAATGAAATACTGGAGAGACAACGGTGTTCCAGCTAACAAGCTTCTCATGGGATTTCCCACCTATGGACGCACTTTCAGGCTTACTACCAGTGATACATCTGTGGGTGCTCCTGCCTCTGGGGCTGGCTCTTCTGGACCTTATACTAGAGAAGCTGGGTTCTGGGCCTACTATGAGGTAATGATTTGAGGAAAATTCAGGTTATTTCTTCATTGAATGAGTATTAATGCCTGCCATCATCTCTACCATTTATACATCATTTTCATATAGTTTTCTTTCAAAAGAGAACAATCTGTAAATTTCAAATTTATTTTCCACAATTTCCCCCAGTCCTCAAATTGTATATTATGTCCTATATCCTATATCTTCACTGAATGAGTATTAATGCCTGCCATCAACTCCATGCACGAATGCATTCATTCTGGGTAAGTATTAGTGCATGTTCATGACAAAAGGCTGTAGCTCAGTGGCAGAGAATCTGCTTTGCATGCAGATTGTCCCAGATCCAATCCCCGGCATTGCCAGATAGAGCTACAGAAGGACACCCCTGTTTGTATTCCTGGAGCTGCCACCGCCAATTGGTGCAGACGGTACTGAGCTAGATAGATGAATGGTGGGACTTAGAATAATAGAATTGTAGAGTTAGAAAGGACCACAAGGGTTGTCTAGTCGAATCCCCTGGAATGCAGGAATCTCTTGCACAAAGTGGGGCTTGAACCCACGACCCCGAGCTTAAGAGTCTCATGCTCTGTCAACTGAGCTATCCCATAAAGCAGCTTCCTGGGTTCTTATAAATGGGTGGCCAGCCCATTGGCCACTCCATACACATTTGAAATGATTGCACAGGAATGACAGGTTCCCTAAAAACAATCCATAAACTGCCAAAACGGAAGGTTCATATTGCATGTGTAGAGAAGCCTATGCATCTTTGGGTACAAGCATAGGCTCCTATGCAAATTTATTATAATAGGAGGCTAATCAAATTGAATACCAATTGAGTACAATTACATTTAAAAGATACAAATAAATTCACAAAGGAGCCATCTTCTGCAAGTGACAGGCAGGAGCAGCTGCAGGTATGATCCTAAGCCTCTCAACCATGTGGTAATTTGTAAGCACAATGAGTGTCACTGTTTTCTTGACATGGCCATTCTACTTCTTCATTTTGTCCTCTTGCTAATATCATAACATTTTGGCAGATCTGCACATTCATAAGAGATGCCACGGTTAGTTGGATTGAAGACCAGAAGGTGCCATATGCCTACAAAGGGAACGAATGGGTTGGCTTTGACAATGCCAAGAGTTATGAGTTCAAAGTAAGAACCCTTTTTGCATACAGCTTTCCCCCTTACATTTGGTTTGTCACAGACATCCTTATCATCCTTATTCTGAACTTTGTGTATTCTGTCACGTTTTGTGCTATCACAATTTGCATGTTGTAATGTAAGTGACTTCTTCCATGCAAGGCTTCCCCTTCCAAAGATTCAGTGTGTGGGAAACCAAGGAGTTCCATGTACAAGCAGATACCATTTCTGTGTGTGCATTATTCCATATTGTTTCGTGAAATTGTAATGTTATATGCTGAAAACTGCCCCGAGTGGTCTTTTTAAGGGTGGGGCATGAATGTTTTAAAAAGCAACTAAATGAAATACAAGTCAGATGGTAATATGAATAGCACAAGAAGAGGCCCGATGCAACTGAAGCTTCCTCCTGATGAGAAAATGGCATCTTAGGAATGTCATGATGATGATGATGATGATTTTCTTGCAGGCCCAGTTTGTGAAGGATAATAAGTTTGGGGGTGCCATGGTATGGGCAATTGATTTGGACGACTTCAGTGGTGGATTCTGTGGTGAAGGAGCCTACCCATTGATAAAAAAACTGAAGAGTCTCCTTGCAGGAGGTAAGGCACCTAAATATAGCACCAAAGGCCATCTTGGGCTCCACTGTGTGTGAAGCAGGATCTTACAGAGGCTTTCCAAATACAAGGTGGCCCTATTTACAACAGTGTGACATTCCTTCCTTGGGTGGGTATGTATGTATGGAGCCAGTAGGAAGAATGCCAGCAAATCTGATTCCCTAGCATGTAACAAAGAGACTTCAATGCAGAGTGTGAATGGATGAAGTTCTCCCCCATGTCATTTGATTTGTACCTAGCTACACACAGTTGAGGCTCACTGGGGAAAAAGTCAGAGACTTTCCTTGGTTGTCAGCTAATCTGGCAACAAATTCCTACCTGGTACCAATTTGTAGGTTCTTAGTCTATACAAATTATGTTTGCTGTTGCCTCCTGCCCTCTATCTTGTGACCAAGTGCAGATTTTGTAGCTTCCAACATCAGGCCAGCTCAGCAGCCTGATGAAGAGTTCAGAAGAAGTAGAAATTGTGCATATTGTTTTGTGACAATTTGGTTGTTCCAAAGTATTGGTCAGTTGTGGATTTTGGTTTCGCTGTTATAGAACATCAAGCTACTTTGGTCTTTTTTAGCAATGAAAATGTAACCTATCACTTGCCCATCCAGTGATGTACACCAGTATGCCTGTTGACGTGAACCTAGATCAGATGTCTCAGGTGAATCTCGTAGTAATTAGTTTTTAAAAATTAAATGCAATTTCCCATCAAAACAGGAACTTAAATGTATTTCTCAAAAGCCAGTAGAGCAATAAGATATTACTGACAGCTTAAAATACTGAACAAATCCAGAATTGTCAAAGTAGCCACATAAGTCAAAATACTTATTAAATGCATTCGAGATTTCCACATGCCTTTCTGAACATCTGTACTTCTTATTGTTAGGCTGTGGTGATGTTCCAACCGTTGATCCTCCCACCATACCTCCTGATGAAACTACTACTCTTCCTGATGACGTAACACCACCTCCTGAAGAAACCACTACTCAGGTTCCTGATGAAACAACTCCTAAGCCAAGTGAAAATCCTGATGAGGGTGGTGAGTTTGCTGTTGACAAAAGTTACAGTTAGCGGTGTAAGAAGATATAGGAATGGAGCAGCTCATGGGCTGGAACAATTTTTTAAGCTGGCTTCTGGTGGCCTAGCAAATGATTGTCAAGATGTGATAAAATATGTCCACATAAATATTTGTGTTTATGTGTGTGAAACATGTATAAATGGAGAGACATAAACACTCAAAATGTATTTAATATGATATCTGTATTTTAGTTGTCTAGGTGATGTTCTGGCACAATATTCTGCCAACATTTGCCACTTGTCCTGCACACTTTGGCTTCTGGCTCCACTCTCTGAAAGGTTGACCATAAGTAGGGAAAGGAAGGTTCTCTTTGCTTCTCATTTTTCCTATCTTAAATTCAGTTCCCTACATTTTGCAGCCATTTGCAATAATAAAATAAACATCTCATGAAAATTCACCAGCATTTTCATATGAATTTCTCCTAATAAATACATTTTTAATAGTTCATAGACACATTTTTGCAAGCCATTTCCCCTAATGCATTTTTAACTCATTTATTTTTATTAATACCTTCATTTTTATGCATATCTTCATTTTATGCATATCTTCATTTTTATATATCTTTCCCCACATATATGCAGTTTTGTAAACGTAGGGTTCCCCTATCTTGAATACTGCAGTCGGCAACAGTGTCCAGACAGAAATTTGAAAAAAACAACAACCTCAAAAACAATGATTTTGGCAAAAAAGCTCAACAACTTTGGGCAGAACTGAAAAAAGCTCAACACTGAAATTTGGCAACCCTAGTAAACATCGCTTGATTGGAGAACTGCATCAAAAAACTTGAATAAATGCGAACTTTGAAGGATAGCTGTGTTTGGGTTCATGCATTATTTCAGAAACAATATTGGTTCCCCATCACTGAACTATAGCGTTAAATTGGAAATGGTAGGCTTGGGGAATGATATCTCAAAGTTGTGTGACAAACTAGCTCTGGGATTTTGTGCTGTAGTCCCCATCCCTTCTAGCCCCTGGTCTGTCTTTAGAGCTAGGAAAGATTGCATAATTGTTATGTCTGCCGCTTAAAAATCCTCCATCCAGACACAGTTTTTGAGGATAATGACTGAATGAACTCTGAACATGACTTTGTGTCAACAATGGCACCATCTCCATTTTCTCACTAGGCCATTCCTGCAAAATTGTGTGCTATTTCACCAACTGGGCTCAGTACCGCCCTGAACCAGCCAAGTACTTTCCAAACAACGTGGACCCACATCTTTGCACTCACCTCATGTATGCGTTTGCAACTATGAACGACAATAAGATTGCCCCTTATGAGTGGAATGATGAGGACAGGCTCTTCCCAGAGTTCCAAGCGCTAAAGCAGAGGTCAGCTTTTTCTTAGACACAACATTAAGATGTAACTGTGATGTGGGTAAAAGAGGTGCTTAATTTTTTGTAAGATGCTTCTGAGCTGTTCTAGAAGCTGATACAGAAGCTGTGGGTCCACCAGACATTTCTCTAGCATAAACTGATACAGTGGTACCTTGGGTTAAGAACTTAATTCGTTCCGGAGGTCCATTCTTAACCTGAAACTGTTCTTAACCTGTAGCACCACTTTGGCTAATGGGGCCTCCTGCTACCACCGTACGATTTCTGTTCTCATCCTGAAGCAAAGTTCTAAACCCGAGATAATGTTTCTGGGTTGGTTCAAGTTACAGACCTGAAGTGTCTGTAACCTGAAGAGTATGTAACCCAAGGTACCACTGTACAGATAATGCAGTTGTACCATCTGACCTGGTGATAATGATACATTGGTAGCAGTAGACCTCATAAAGAAAGAAATTGTTCCATAATCTAAACTTGACTTTATATAAGCATTAAGTAGAAATCAGCGGGAAATTTTGGCAGGCTGAAGATATAAATAGTGAGCAGCTTAGTTTTTACAAGAACAATATCTATAGCTTTTCTACATCAAATCTGTTTTCAGTTTTTGTTTCAATATATATATTTCCTTTTCACAGTAATCCTGCCTTGGTGACATTGCTGGCTATTGGAGGGTGGAACTTTGGTACACAGAAGTAAGTTTTCTCTATAACTTTGGAAATATGAGTGGTAATCAGCATACAACTGTTGAACATAATAGTGGTTGACAACTGACAGACTGTGAGTGGAATCAGACTCCCGTAAGCTAAGCAGTGCCATCTGGGATGCCCTCCCTCAAGATTCCAGGTCTGTTTGACCTCTCTGTACTTTTTGTAACAGGAGAGTAAGAGACTGAGAATGGCAAGTGCAAGGAGAAGGGAGAGCTATTCTCTGATGTGCCTAATTCAGTCACTTCCTTCTTAGATGTGCCCACAACTGTGTATACATCATACACTTAAAGCACATGCGAAACAAATTCTTTCCTTAAAAGAATTCTGGGCACTGTGGTTTACGTCTCATGGAGTGATAATTCCCAGCTGATAATGGAAGTATCTCAACTGCATAAAGCAAAGAAAGCAAGAAAACAAAGCTGAGGAACGGAAAAAAATAGTCTGTAAAGCACTGTGCAGTTGGATTGACTGACAGGGAAAAAACAAACAACAAACCGAAAAACAAACAAAAGGAAAGATACTAGCAACAGATGCAAGAAAAACAGAGGTGCAGAACTGTACCTTGGTATATAGGATGAAGATCGGCTATACTCTTGCCTAGGAATGCTCTTTTAAGATGGTGCTGCCAGACCCCGCTGTTGCTTTTGTTTTCCCCAGATTCACTACCATGGTTTCCACTGCAGCCAACCGCAAGACTTTCATAAACTCGGTTATAGCATACCTCCGCAAATTTGGCTTTGATGGGATTGATCTGGACTTCGAATATCCAGGTTCTAGGGGTAGCCCCCCTGAGGACAAGCATCGTTTCACTATCCTGATCCAGGTATGAGATCAGTAGGTTCAGCAACCCGGCTGGTCATGCTTCGCAGTTGGGGAAGAAAGCTTTGCTTCTCAGAAGAGGTTTGTAGAGACCTGTAGAAATAGGACTGTGTCACTTAACAAAAGGCTGGGATAATAGTTCATTCTCTTCCTTTAGGAAATGGTAGCAGCTTTTGACAAAGAGGCCAAAGAGACTGGGAACAACAGGTTGTTGGTGACAGCAGCTGTCTCTGCTGGTAAACCGACCATTGATGCTGGATATGAAATTGAAGAAATAGGAAAGTAAGTGGAGAGAGAAAAAAGAGCTTTGTTAAATGCAATTATAGTAATGCTTAATTGATCAAGCTGGCTTGGAATTCCAGTCCTATGGCCTGTAAACCTTATCACTCGATGCTAAAGGAAGCTACATACAGAGGTGTACTCCCTTGCCAATTACTGCTTCACATGTTGCCAGAGCTGAGACTGCCAACTGGAAATGGGTACCAAAGGCCAAACGTCCTGTGAAACTTGTTGCATTGTTTGGCCTCACATGGCTGATTTTTTTAAGGCATACTGCCCCCCGCCCCTGCCAAATCAAGACCATGAAGTGAAGGCAGGTGGGAAGGTGTTTTTAACAGTTTGCCACCACCATAATCCCAATCACAATTGCCCTCCTTCATCCTTGATGTCAATGGGAGAGCTTTCCTTCCATTGTGAATAGCAAGTGCAGAAGGGGGGCTTTTTACAGTTAGAAGCATGGTCCCCTACCATGGTTCTCACTCTCAGTCCCCACCTCAGCAGCCTCTGGGCAAGGCCAGAAAAGACATAAGCATCACATAGAGCAGTGTTTCCCAACCTTTTTTGGGCAAAGGCACACTTGTTTCATGAAAAAAATCTCGAGGCACACCACCATTACAGCCCCGTGACGTCAGCGCGCAGCGTCACGCCGGGAGGGACGCACGAAAGTGTAGGTTTCAATTTTTTCCCCTCCCCCTTGCCTTCCTTCTGTGCCAACCGCCAAAAAGCCAAGAAAAAAGCCAAGACTTTAGGGCAGCAGGTCGACACGGAAGAAGCTCCTACCTAAGGACAGGTGCGACGGCCGTGTCCTCTTCTGCCACACTTGGCAGCCCTGCCTCACGGTCGTGACTCCCACCCTGATTTCTCCCCGCAGGTCGAGCGGCACAGGCAGCCCAATGTGTCCAGCCCAGACACAAGCCCCGCTTCCCCACTCTAGATCCTGAATGCGACCAAGTGCTCTGGACTCCCGAGCAGGGTGGGAAAGAGGACTCGCATCTGGTAGCCTCCGGGCTCCTCGCCTGCTCGAGGGATGGCATTGCAGGCAAGCTGCCGGCCGTCGCCATCGCCGCCCCCTCATGCGAGTGGACCTGCCCGGAGTGGTGGGCCGGGGGAGGCTCGCTCTCTGTGGGGATGTGGCCCGCACGCGCGGCCCCGCTTCCTCCTGCCCAGGGCTGAGCTCCTTACCCGCGATCTCGGTCTTGCGCACGCGGATCCCACTTATTCTGAAGCTCGCGCCACTAGCCGGGGCTCTCACACCGTGCCAGGGCGAGGCGGCGCGGCCCACTGACGTCATCGCGGCTCGCCGCCGCCCTCGACTTCCCTGTTCCCTCCCCTCCCTCGGGTCGCCGTGGTTACCGAGGACTGCAAGGTGCTCGGGCGAGCGTGGGGCATTAAGTGGGAGAAGGAAAATTAAAATTAAAACTCGCCTGAAGGCCGCCTCTCCGGATACAGTGGTGCCTCGCAAGACGAAATTAATTCGTTCCGCAAGTCTCTTCGTCTTGCGAGTTTTTCGTCTTGCGATGCACGGTTTCCCATAGGAATGCATTGAAAATCAATTAATGCGTTCCTAGGGAAACCGCCTTCAGACCAGGTCCGGGGACAGTCTGTCCCCCGACCTCTTCTGAAGGCTGGGGGGGGACAAGGGCTTTTCTTCCCACCCCCAGCATTTTAAAAAACCCCGGGACAGCGGAGGACTTCTCCGCTGTCCGGGGCAATCTTAAAATGCTGGCGGGCGGCATTTTAAAATCGCCCGGGACAGCGGAGGACTTCTCCGCTGTCCGGGGCGATTTAAAAGCCCCTGGGAAGGCAGGCAGGGGGGACAAAGATTTTCGCCCCCCGCCCACCTTCAGAAGAGGTCCTGGACCTCTTCTGAAGGTGGGCGGGGGCGAAAGTCTTTGCTCCCCCCTGCCTGCCTTCCCGGGAGAGCGGAGAAAGGCAGCGCGTTTCACCGCTGTCCCGGATGGCTTTAGAAGGTCCTTGACCTCTTCTGAAGGCAGGCGGGGGCGAAAGCCTTTGCTCCCCCCTGCCTGCCTTCCCGGGAGAGCGGAGAAAGGCAGCACGTTTCTCCGCTGTCCCGGACGGCTTTTGAAGGCAGGCTTTTGAAAGCCATCCGGGACAGCGGAGAAACGCAGCGCGCCCTTGCCGCTGCCCCCCGACTTGGCTGGAAGGCTGGCGGGGGGAGAAGCCTGCTCCTCCCCATCGCCAGCCCCGCAAACTCGGGGGACAGCGGGAGACGCGCAGCGCGCCCTTGCCGCTCCCCCCCGACTTGGCTGGAAGGCTGGCGGGGGGAGAAGCCTGCTCCTCCCCATCGCCAGCCCCGCAAACTCGGGGGACAGCGGGAGAGGCGCAGCGCGCCCTTGCCGCTGCCCCCCGACTTGGCTGGAAGGCTGGCGGGGGGAGAAGCCTGCTCCTCCCCATCGCCAGCCCCGCAAACTCGGGGGACAGCGGGAGAGGCGCAGCGCGCCCTTGCCGCTGCCCCCCGACTTGGCTGGAAGGCTGGCGGGGGGAGAAGCCTGCTCCTCCCCATCGCCAGCCCCGCAAACTCGGGGGACAGCGGGAGAGGCGCAGCGCGCCCTTGCCGCTGCCCCCCGACTTGGCTGGAAGGCTGGCGGGGGGAGAAGCCTGCTCCTCCCCATCGCCAGCCCCGCAAACTCGGGGGACAGCGGGAGAGGCGCAGCGCGCCCTTGCCGCTGCCCCCCGACTTGGCTGGAAGGCTGGCGGGGGGAGAAGCCTGCTCCTCCCCATCGCCAGCCCCGCAAACTCGGGGGACAGCGGGAGAGGCGCAGCGCGCCCTTGCCGCTGCCCCCCGACTTGGCTGGAAGGCTGGCGGGGGGAGAAGCCTGCTCCTCCCCATCGCCAGCCCTGCAAACTCGGGGGACAGCGGGAGAGGCGCAGCGCGCCCTTGCCGCTGCCCCCCAACTTGGCTGGAAGGCTGGCGGGGGGAGAAGCCTGCTCCTCCCCATCGCCAGCCCTGCAAACTCGGGGGACAGCGGGAGAGGCGCAGCGCGCCATCCCGCTGTCTCCCGACATGGTTTGGAGGCTGGCGGAGGGCTTCCTCCTCCCCCAGCCCCGCAAGCTCCCAGAGCGATGCCAAAGCTGCGTGCAGCTTCGGCATGGCTCTGGGTCCCGTTCTGGGGGAGGGGGAAGCTCGGGCTTCCCCCGCCGCAGCCCCACGCCTGGCGGTGGGGGAATAATTTTTTTCCCCTTTATTCCCCCCCCCGCCAATTTTTCCCGCGGCACACCAGGCAACGTCTCGCGGCACACTAGTGTGCCGCGGAACACCGGTTGGGAAACACTGACATAGAGTTTGGCCTTGACTGAATTTTGACTTTCTTTTCACCCCACATTCTGACTGATGGTCTCTCAGACCCATGGTCCCTTGCAGGTGAGGTTGATAAGGTTCTGAATGCCCCAGAAAAACGTTTTTATTGCAAAAATATGCTGATGTGAAAAGTTTATTTCACTCTGTGGTGGGTGCGGATCCTCCAAATAACAAAACCTACCTAGACTTGGTTGTTTGAATCAGCCTAATTCTAAACTGCACCTTTCATTTCAGACATCTGGATTTTATTAGTGTGATGACCTATGACTTCCATGGTGGCTGGGACACCTTTACAGGGCACAACAGCCCACTGTACGTTGGTTCAGCTGATATTGGAGACTTCAGATATTTCAACTGTGTAAGAATATAAAGCACGGTTTATTTTCTTTAGCGGGTTGCTTTGTGTTGTAACATGGAGTCCTTGGAGCACCCCACAATTGCCTAACTTTGACTCCCATAGGTTCAGGTCGGGTGTCACAAACATGAGACTTTAGCCAGGAGATAGAACCAAAACAGTGTCCTGTAGGCCTGATCTTTATTGTTGCAACAAGACTTCCCACTACCACAAAGACGAAGCAGCCAGAAGCCCCAAACAATGGTTACACCAGTATTTTAAAGTTTCCCATAATACATCTCAGGATGCACCATCAAGACATCATGGATATGTCACAGAAAAGGTGTGGTCTTTGGTAGATCGTGAGATCCAGGCATGCCCATGTCACTCAAATATAGTCTTTCACACTTACTCCATCACAGTACAAAGGAAAGTATTTACAGTTCCCTGGTTGCCAAGTCAAGTCAAATACACCCCTTTGTCTTGTCTGGGCTTCATCCCACTATGGGGTGGGTAGGCACTGTGATTGAGATGGTTATCTGTCTGGCACTCTTGGGGCAAGATATCACCGGTCATGACTCCTTGGGAAGGCCCTGGAAACATGACTATACATCTCTTGGGGATTACGGTTGGCTCATACACCCCTCCCCTTATACCTCACTTTCCTGGGTCCTAAATGCCATTGGAACTGAGAAGATTGATACGAGTGATTTCTTACGAATTTCTAAAGTTTTCCCATTGAGCCAGTAGGTAGATACATTTATCAAGTGAATTGCTACATTTAGTACTGACACTTCCCCTGTTTTCCTTTGTTGGAGACCTGGGGCTCAGCGGCAAGTCGCAGGCTCCTGCAAATTGAGCTGAGCTTCCCTTGCAGATGCAATGCCTTTGTAGATTGTAGATGTTGTAGATGTTGCTGTGTGGGGCGGGGAGGTCTCTCACCCCCATTCCAGTTTCCCGGTAACAGTGTTGGTAAACGACTGTGAGGTTAATTCACAGTGTCATATTTGCAGGAGTTTGCCATGAAATACTGGAGAGACAATGGTGTTCCTGCTGGGAAGCTTCTCATGGGATTTCCCACCTATGGACGTACCTTTAGGCTTACTACCAGTGATACATCAGTGGGCGCTCCTGCTTCTGGGGCTGGCTCTTCTGGACCATACACCCGTGAAGCTGGTTTCTGGGCTTACTATGAGGTAAGATGCTGGAGAAGTCCTAGGGCAGGATGCCTTTTAGGTTACAGTCCTATGTATGCTTACCTGGCTGAGAATAAGTCCTATTGAATTCAGTGGCGCATGCTTCTGAATATAGAATTGCACTCTAATACAGTTACAATCTTATGCCTGCTTACTAAGAATTAAGCTGCATCATAACTATACTTTAGGACTGCACTGCACATGGTTTGCTGCCATTCTCATGTTTTTCCCCAGAATATATAAACCAAATGAGCCAAAATTATTTTATATACAAGTGCCTTCAAAATCTTGAACCTAACACACTGGAATATTTTGACAATATTACGCTACAAGTTTGGCCCAAAATAAATATCATGCTGTCTTTCTACTTGCCTTCTGGATTTGGATAAATTACAATTTTTCTTAGCAGCTGTTATTATGGTTGTGTGAGGTTATTTGCTGAATTTCTAATATTTTGGTATCTGCATATATCAGAGTAGTTTTACCCACACAACAAATCTGTAGGGGAATTCAAACCTCCACTGTTACAACAGCTGCTTAGTCTGCAAAGCAGCTTTTATGGTGCAGTCATATTGTTCCTGTAAGGGCATCTTAGGAGCTCTGGGATGCTGTAGCCCTCCATCTCCAAAAGTCAACAGGGACGTCTGCTGTGTTCCTCCCTTGACTGGGACAGAAAGTTCTGTTTCTGTGGTTTCCATGAATTAGATCATTTAAAACCAAATAACTTCTCTGTTGTGACTTTAATTTCATGTTCCACCAGATTAATCTGATTCAAATCCATTAATCTATTAATACCGTACTGTGTTTGCAGATCTGTACCTTTATAAGGGATGCTACAGTTAAATGGATTGAAGACCAGTGTGTTCCCTATGCTTACAAAGGTTCTGAGTGGGTTGGATTTGACAACAAAAAAAGCTATGGATGCAAAGTAAGGCTGCCTTTGTTGACTATGACCTTTTATTTTATGCCTTCTTATTACCAACAGTGCTGTACTGAATGCCTGTGTTGCATAATTTGAACACACGAGTTGCCATTTCTCATTTACAGATCTAAGTGACCTTTAGATGTTGTCTCAGCCATTTAGGAGCTGGAAGATGTTTTCTCAACTATTTGTTTATTCAGAGTGCTGAATTGAAGTATAATGATTTATTTATATCATACACTGAAATACACAATAAAACCATAACATAAAATGACTCAACCACATGGGTAGGGTTTTATTGCATGTGTCTTTCCCATGGAATCTACATTGTGCTGTGGGTGCTGATTGCCTAGAACAGGGGTCTGCAACCCGCGGCTCCGGAGCCGCATGTGGCTCTTTTACACCTTTGCCGCGGCTCCGGGGCGGATACTAGCGAGGGGAGGAGGTGCATTGTGCGCCCCGACACTCCCCACTGTGGCGGGCGCTGTACTGGCTGTGACATTGCATGGGGGCGGTGCGTGCGTTAGTCACGCACCGTCCCAACGTCACCTTCCTGGTTTTGCGGCTCCCAGTTTTTTTTCTTCGGAAACGGGTCCAAGTGGCTCTTTTTGTCTTAAAGGTTGCAGACCCCTGGCCTAGAAAAACATTTATACCCCCATATGGTTGGGTCCTTTAAATGTTCTCCCAGCCGTGGGGAAAGGAAGCTGTTTACACATGACTGGCAGAATGTTTAGAGGGCATCAGCAGTGAAGAATGGAGTTGCATATTGCAGACCAGGAATAGCCATTGTGGGTTGGACTCCCATCAACCAGCATGGCACGTGGCCAGGGATTATGGGAATTCATCCATTTACAGCCCTGTGATACCACTTTAAACATTTATGGCTTCTCCCAAGGAATTCTGGGAACTGTAGTTTGTTAAGGGCACGGAGGGTTGTTAGGAGACCCCTGTTCCACTCACAGAATTACAATTCCCAGAGTTCCCTGTGAAGAGAGATTGGAGCTCTGGGAGGGGAAGAGGGGTCTCCAAACAGTGCTCAGCACCCTTAATAAACTACAGCTTCTCTTTGTGGGAAGCCATGACTATTTAAAGGGGTATCATAGCGCTTTAAAGGTGCAGTGTGAATGCGGCCTTTGTTGGTTACGTAGAGCAACCCACAAATATTCAGGATACAAACATCAAGACAAGATTAATGGCTGATGTAATTTTGCCGAGTAGCCTGTTTGGTAGTTTTCCTGGTGTCATACTGGTGTTGAATTAGTGGATTTTTCTCAACAATTTTCACTGCTTGGGAGCAGAGCTTGCCATAACGCACTATCCTTTTTGTTTATAGACCCAGTTTGTGAAGGACAACAAATTTGGTGGTGGCATGGTATGGGCTATTGACCTGGATGACTTCAGTGGCTCATTCTGTGGTGAAGGACCTTACCCTCTCATAAATGAGCTGAAGAACCTACTTTCAGGCAAAGGTAAGATGGTACCAAAGGATCATTGGAGGTGGGGGAGTTATCAAAAGCCAAACAGTTGTTTAGATTCCACACCTGACTCTTTGCAGCTATGTTTTAGTAATGGGAAAGATGCACATTCATTGTCCAAACCGCCCAGTGGCAAATATTTTGGAACCAGCACATGGTGTTTAAAAGCTCATCTCGCCACATGATGTCTTAGTGTGTGCTATTTAAATGAAGAAAGAAGCAGATGACCTTTTTGCAGTGCATGCGTTCCTTAAAAGTCAACTGTGTTGACTTTCACCAGGTTGTATGGGGGAAAAAGGCACAGTCACTTCATGTGGCATTTCTTTCTATGGACCATCACACCAAATCCTACACAACATAGCACTTCATTTTGAGAAAGATGGCTTTTCCATTTCTAGTTTAGTTTTAAAGTACCAAGCTAGCCGAGTGAGAAGCTCCTTTTAGAGCATGCATTATTTTGAATGCCCAGTTGCTGCTGCATGGCTTAAAACATTATTTAGCAAAATGAATCTCATTGTATACAGAGTTTCTGAATTTTATTAGAAAATAATTTATACAGGATAATAAGCTTTGCCTCCATGATATTTTATACAAACATATTATATAATGCTCTGACACCCAGTCACCTGCATTATGTGAGAGTAACAATATTTCCTGTTATGGAAAGTGCAGCTCACTACCATTCCTCCTTCCTAAAGCAGGTGGTTTTTATACTCATGGACTATAATGGTTCTAGGAAGAAGTTATTGGTGGATGAAAGCAAATGTCTGATTCCTGATTTTGCATGTTTCTTTCAGTTTGTGGTGAGCCAGGAAGCACCATAATACCATCAACCACTCCTGAACCTATTACTACTCCGGGGCCTACAACCACACCTGATCCAGATGCTCCCACCACTCCTCCTGGAACAGAATTTTGTGCAAACAAAGCTGATGGCATGTATGTTAATCCAGATGATCCCAATAAATTCTACATTTGTGCTGGAACTGCAACATTCCCCATGTCTTGTGCAGCTGGCCTGGTCTTTGATGAAAGTTGTAAGTGTTGCAACTGGCCATTGAATTAAGGACTCTCAGATGCAAGGTGCTAACAGCAACCACCTCTTCTTACAATGCCTGTAGCACCTCCCTTCATATGGAGCAATAAAAATTATTCATGGATCTCGGTGCTTTGATGTTTCATTTATTCTTTTGGGAGGCAGTGGAAGGAAACTGGCCAATTTTGCCCAGTTTTAGGTGCACCAACATAACTATTGTATATGGAGAGAAATTCAGTGCAAACATTTCACAACACTTGAAACTGTGTGTGTGTGTTTGACTGGCACACTTTTTCTGCATGTGAATGGTTTCTGGCCACCAAGAACATCCACCTTCACATTAGATCCCTGAATAATACTTTTTTTCAGACCATCTTTTAACGAGAGGAATTGGGTGGAAGGATGTAAGTTAGAACTTTGGAGAGCTGGCAGCAAAAGTATTTATTTTACAAGGTATTTATTAGGAATATTTCTAAACTGCCCTTCATGCAGGGATTCTCAGGCATTGTACAATAATTCATCGTCAGACATGGATGTTACTATTTGCCTAATTTATCCCCTCCCACAAGGGATCCTCAGCTCCCCAACGCAGGCCCTTCCCTCAGGTACTGACAGGTGGATCCTTGACTCCACAGAGACACAAGAACCCTTTGCATCCCAGGGGTTCCTTCTGTGTGCAGCAGCTACCTATCCTTTACCTTGTTTCCAGCTCTCCAATGACCTTGGTCATCTTTGCTTTCCCTTTAACCCTTTGTGCCTGAGTCCCTGCTGAAGGAGAGGCTATAGCTTGCTCTGCCTTTACACCTCCTGACCAGGCTTCCTTTCCTGGAGGACCTCTCTCTTTTCTTCTGCCCAGCCATTCCCAATGGTGGTGCTGTGCTCCCAAATGCCCAATGGTAACCTTTTTGTGGGGTCATAGTGAGTGCAGGAGTGTGCTGCCATTGCATGTCAAGGCCCCGAGCTCCCCACCCCCCATTCCTGGATAATAACTCACATGGACACCAAAATTTGGGTTAATGGGCTAAATAAGGCCACAACTTTATTGGTTACAGATGTGAGTGGTATTGGCTTAGGCACTGGACTAGAACCAACTATATCTGACTCCTGCCTGCAATGCAGGTAGTCTAGAAAGGGTCAACCACCAATAGGGGGAGCCCTGTTGATGTACATCAACTGTGAGCTCCCCCAGGGTCCCCGATGGGGTTGTGGCATGGCCCTAGCCCATACACAGGCTTCGGACAAGATCCACACCCCCGGATCCCTTTAACGTAAGACCCTTAAAGAGGAGAGGCAGGTGAAGGCCACAACCTCCCCTCCCATAAACCAAGTTTTCCCAATGCCTAACCACCAAACCTTATAAAGGTGTGACAATTGCTACAAGGCAGGCGAAAACTACATGGCTGGTGCCAATTTGCCAAGTGGGAAAATTCCTACGTGGTCTCCTCAACAGGTGACCAACCGTGGTCTATAGCAAGGCCAAGATGGCAAATGCATGGAAATAGGGCAGGAGGGTGGGAGATCCGAAGCCCGAGTAGGCAAGAAGGGAGAGCCCCCTGGCTGCGTGGCTGTTTCAGTAGCCCAAGCCACGCCCCTCGACTGGATTGGTTGGCCAGGGGCCGTGACGCGGCCAGGGACACCCTGTAATGCGGGCGGCATCGCCACACCCTCCCCCGCTGTGCATAAGTAGAGCGTGAGGCCCGACTGCAACCCCTCCCCATCACCATGACTCCTAGGTCAAAGCAAGACTCTGTGGAGACCACAACACAGCTGTCTCCTCATATTCATGTACAGCTAGGGAGGGAGGAGAATTTAAAGTGAATGAAGTCCATACATGATTCAATTCATTTATGTTATTTTCACTAATTTATGCATTTTGTGCATACTTTCCCTAATCTGTGCACTTCTGTACACTTTTTTTGGGTGGAAGTACTGTATTGCAAAAATCAGAGCAGTGTGAATATCAAAGGAGGTTTTGAATCACAGATTCTTTTGGGAAATGCAGATCAGTTAAACTGGGAAATCAGTTTGGGAAATGTTCTCGTTAAACTGTGAGATGGACTGAATCCCTAGAGGTGGATTTAAGGGAGTGCGACTGGTTTGGTTGCACTGGGTGCAGAGAGGGGGTGCTGTGGGGGGGCACAATTATAATGTTAAATGGAAGGCAAGGGGGGGCATCAAATAAGGCGCCATTGAATTTTGAGACCCACTGTTCTCCCCCCATCCCTAGCTACAGCAAGATTTTTTGCTCCTCTTCCCCAGCACCCCTGAAAGCCTGTACGCCAAAATTGCCATGCCAGCACTTTTTGTGTGTTGTTTATTTCTGGTCAGAGCCAGAATATATGGCTCTGGTTGTCAGTCTGCAACTCAGATAATGTATGTGGGCCTTTCATAGTTATGTAACTCAAGGGAGGGGGTGCAACTGTGGATACCCCTGCTTCCTCTAGCAGGCTGGAAAGAGAGTGGCTAAAGGGGTGGGGTGGGGGACAGAAGAGGAGCCCAGTTAGAGCTGCAAATTTTCATGGCTGTTGAGCTGTCAAAGGGTCGTGCATTCTCTACTCCGGTTGCTGGACAACCCTATTAGGACTCTGGGGCTTGCAGCGTTTGCCTGAATTTGCCCTCTTGGCTAGCAGACGGTCTGCTGGCTGCCAACACAAGTGAGAGAAACCTCATGAATTGGCTGAGGGTCTCAAAGGCGTTCCAGTTGCTATGCAAAGCTGTTTCTAATAAATGATGCTGGGGCTACAAGACCTTCTTCTCACTAGCAGAAATGAAGTATGAATGTGGAAACCAGAGGAATGGTCTGTGATGACATTACAACGTGTGAGATCTTTCACTGCTTGTTACTAGCAAGGAGAGATGCAAAACTGCTGGTTTCAGCAACAGCAGCTAAGTATCCCCCATAACACCCAGCCCTGCCCAGAGATTCCTTTTTGCATTTTGTCCATGAATTATGCATTTGCTGATGGGGATGCAATTATGAAAAAGAGTCTTAAAAATGGAACAAATTCCTCAGGACACTATATGCATTCAGTTCTTTTAAGTCTACTTAACACAATTTCAAACTTAAATCATTTTCAAACTTTCATGTAGTGGCATCCTTTTAAACTTTGGGGTCTTGTACCACTATCCCTTCCTTCTCACATGTCAAAGTTAATTCATTGTAATGGTCTTATAGCCCAAATGCATCAACATAGATCAGGCCTGCACAACTTGTCATTTGCAAAACCAAGCATAGTCTATTGTCTTACTGCATTTCTTGGCAATAGAATTTTATGGCAGAATGCCTAATACAAGACTCAGCTATACAACTGTAGATAAAACATGTTAAGTGTGTTTTAAGTGCAATATACAATGTGACACTAGATGGTGATGATGAGCTTTAAGGAAAATTCAATGTATTTTTAAAAAGAATTTTCGGAACAGTTTTCTATGTAGATTCCACCACAGTTGCTAATGAGTTAGTTTTGCAGTCCTTAGACTAATAAGAACATAAGAAGCTGTATTGCACATTACCAAGTCACAGCATCAGTCTTTCTAGCCTAGCACATTATTATTCATATGGACAGGCAGTTCTCCAGGGTTTCAGGCAAGGGTCTTTCCCAGGCCCAGTTGGAGATGTCAGGGACTGAACCTGGAGCTTTTATATCCGCTACTTTCAGGCATAGCAGTAACCAATGCTGAATGATCACATCAAGGACCAGTCCTGTAGCTAAGATGGGGCAAATTGGTGCACAGTCATAGTCTCCCCCACCCTGAGCTGTGCTTTGTCCCCCCTCTGGATTCTTAAAAATTGTCTTTTAAATATGTGACATGACAGGCAAAGACAGCCTCCATTTAAAGAATGACAACTTGTTTTAAGAAGAGGAGAAATTTAAGAATAGACACCTCTGACGTATTCAGCGAATAAGGCAGGGTGAGCACACCGCAAAAGCCTCATTTGGAAGAGCCACCACAAAGTCTGCTCACTCAAGATTTTCCCTGACTAAGGGTGGATTTTCCATTATCACAATCACCCTATAATTACTTAAGTGATCTTGGGTGTGTGGGGAGGGGATGGCGGGTGGGGAAGCCTGCATTGTCACAGCAACAATCGCAGATAACAATGGCTCTCAAAGTGAACCGTTCACAGTGGGATCAGGTGTTAAACAGGGTTGTTTGCCCCAACTCTATTTATTATTTTCATTGCAATGATCCTACACTTTGTCGAAGGGAAACTCCCCACTGGAGTAGAAATCATATATTGAACAGATGGAAAGCTCTTCAATCTGAGCAGGCTGAAAGCAAAGAGTAAGGTTACCATAACTTCTGTTGAGGCATCTAATCATAAGCCTGCATTTTATTAATGTTTGATCAGGGCTTGTATATTAAAGAGAGCTTAAAGATTTTCAAATGTTTCATGCCAGGCAGAAGACCAGCTGCTTAGAGAACCTTGGCAATGTTTTCCTCCTAGACAAGGGGCCCCTTGATTTATAGCAGAAAACAATTCTCAAAGTCGTAAAAGGGGGAATTACAGGCTGAGAGCGAGGACACTGACCCTACATGTTACAGAAGATAAAAAAGGCAGAGATAAACATAATTAGGAATGAGTAAATAGTAAAATAATACCAATGTGCCTCTCAGTAAAATGAGCCAGATCTTCTTCCTAAGGTTAAAAAGGCCAAGAGCAATGGAGAAGCATCTAGCTGGCAGAAAGAGAGCATTTTTGGGAAGTCTTTTCTAAAGCTGTTTCTTTCTTAAACTGAGAGAGTTGAAGGGCAATAAATGTTGGGAAGAGCTAATGGGAAAAGCAGCTGGCTGAGGGGGGGGGTGTAAACTGAAGAGGCTTCTTTTGAAGCTGTTTTTTACCGAGTTCCTTTTTTACTTTACAAAGGCCTTATTCCTTTTAAAAGGCTACCTATGTTATGTATTAAATATATTGGCTTAAATGTAATTATGCAAAGGATTTAAGAAATGCTAGATTCTTATTTCATATAGTTGTAAGAGTTGTATTTATCCTGAAATTAAGTCAGCCACCAGCCTAGCCCCCCTGCCAGACAGGAGACGCCATCGAGCACTCCTGATATATAGTTGTCAGGCATTTGTTTAGAAACCTTCAAATGAAGGAGATCTTTCAATGTTGATGTGA